AATCCGTGGCAATAGAACGCAACGTAGTACACCAGAAGTAGACACCTTTTTTAGGAAGAGATAAATCACTGTTAAGCACCACTGAAGAGACTGACCAGCTACATACTGAATACAAAAGGACTTTCTGAAGGTTTGCTGTGAGCTAGAAGCATATTTTCATCCAGCCTGAGGTAAGTCAGGCACCAGGAAAGCGCATGAAACACTGCTGGTGTCTCATAAGCCATGTAAAATTACTAGAAATACCATTTGGTCAACATTTACATAGACATATAAATGCAGGATGCATGAGCACGTTAAATTGTTTTTACTTCAGGGAAATGTTTGTAAATAAATCATGTGCATACATTTTTATGCTATGAAGTTCTAAGTGCATCTACTTTGTTTATTTAGCTACAAGGCATACAGAACATTCACCCAAAAGATGCTGACAAATCACTCACACTTCCACATTAACAAAACATGCCTAGAAGAAGGGAAGATCTATCTCTCCAGGGACTAGTGAAAGAAAAATTGCTTATACTAAAAAGGTTTTGCTAGCTGGAGTGTTCTGTACCAAAACTCCCCAAGCCCCAACCATGCTTCCACAGTCAGATGAAGAACCAACTGACTGCTTGTCTCTATACATTTTATGCAGTTACATGAACAAAAAGACATATATGATTTTGGTGAAAATATATTGATAAAGCCTTATTACTTGAATCCTGCAGTTTTCATTTGGCCCCAGAAACACTTCATATTTTTAGGGCAGTCATCACAAAATTTGCTTCTATATTGTTGGCAGTAATATGTAAAAAGAAGTCGGTTTTGTTTGACTATCATCAATTTAAACTGAAATGCAAAAGTGAAACTACCAGCATTATAACCTTGTAAATTCTTGATGCCATTGTTATGTCTGCTGTCTTCGGTTTCATTTCTTTACTGTAGTTCCTGTACGAGAACTCTCAGCTGCCAGCTTCTTCTGCTCATCTGTAAAAATTGCTGTGAAGGAGTGGACAGCAGATCAAGGAAACTACTGCACACCAGTCCAGGAACTCCTACTCAATGTTATGCAATTTTTAAGGGGAAAAACAACTAAGACCAAAGAAAGACTAAATTCCCTTGGCAACATGAGGAAGGCTCCAGGGACATTAGGAACATTCCTTGGAGAGAGGAATTGTTTCTGTGGTGGATATGGCAGCAGCATGCAGTCTAACTTAGTCAATTACCCCTGCAGTCGTTTGAGTATACAAATCCATTTTCCCACAGATGGCTCACCCATATTTACTAATACAAATGTTTTCAGTCAGTTAGTTTTGATTAAACAAATCTGTTTTTACAAACTGCCTAGAAGTTTACTTAACATTTCTGTCAAAAAAGAATACAGTATCATTTCTTTTCTAGTTTTCAATGTTCTGACAACTTCCTTAACATTGCATTAAAAAGTTTTTGCTAAGTTGCAGCACACTTGGGTTTCCTAGCCATTGACACAAGCACTCCTCATTACCCCAGGAAAATTCAATACAAAATTAGATGAAGCAAATGGAAAAATCACTGTGTGTTATATATATATATATATATAAAAAAATACAGGTATTTTTTAATATTAGGTTTATGCTATAAGCAACAGAAAATAGTTCTAAAACACGGCATTCAAATTTATAAATCAATGGAGAGGATGTAAAATTCAGGGAATTTTAAGAAAGAACTGAAGGCACCAATTTATTATTTTGAGGAAAAATGTTGCTACTGGGTTTGTTTGTAACGAATGCAAAGGGTACTTTCGCTCTTCCTTTGTTTCAATGCAAGGTCTGCCTGTAGCAGGGTAACAAAAGCTAGCTTGTGGACTCAAAATTACCAGCTGATCAAAGTCCACACTGTGCAACACTTACAATACAAAATTTCTTCTGCCCTGAACAAATTTGCGTAACAGACAGAATTTAGATTGGCTCAATTACTTACAACAGAAATGTACTCTTTGATGCATTTCATCATTTAGCTTCACACTGACAGTAGCTGATGGAAAATACACGTGTTCAAAATCAACTATATACTAATATTTCCTTCAGACTGAATTTTAACCCCTTCCCTCTTGCTCTATTTCTTGAACATTATTTCCATTAGCAAAGGAAATGTTCTTCTGGCAATAAGCTAATATCAATGGCCTGGCTGTTAAAATTTTTTCAGTTCAATTCAAACTCACCAGCATATTCCTTGGAGCATGGCATCAATTATGAATAATTTGCTTACCAATAACCAATTACCTTCACCATAGAAAACAATGGTACCAGTAGTCATGTGAAAATACAGATAACATATGAAACTACAATATAAACTGAGAGGAAATGTGTTTGTTCTTTCTGTTAAGGCCACTAACAAATGGGGAGAAATTTCGTCTTTTTTCTAAAGGACTCGGGAGAAGAAACATTCTAACATTTTTCTTTTAACTTGGCAATTATTAGTACCTACTTTTACGACAGCAATCCATTAAAGCAGGAAAAAAAGCAGCACAGTTCCGACAAAAAAGTAAGTCAGAGAACCTCAAACTTTCTTCAACTTTGTAAATACAACTTGAAAATACATGGAAAAAGTCTGGATTAGCATAGTAAAAAAACCAGTGAAATAATCAAGTTTAGTGATACGTGCACAAAATTGTTAGCTTGAGATTTTTAATAAATTTTTGTGTAATTCACATTTACTCTTCATGGTAATGCATGCAGTAAAGCACAAATTCATTATGTTTATCATATCTTGGTTTATTTTTGCCATGGTTTTGCTACACGTGGCAGGTATCAATGCATAGTTAGAAATATCAATGAATTTGAAACGTACATGAAATACTGGCTAGGAATTGTTAGGCAATTCATTCACAATGGGCAGGTGTATCTCCTAGGTGACATGGGGTGAAACAAATATTTAACTTCTCCTTTGTTCTCTAATCTGGCTACCCACAAATGATAGCATTACATGCAACGTGTCAGTTTACCTTGAAAACCTGTCAATGGCCTGAGCTAAAGTTGCCTGAGCGTCAGGATGAGGCATGAGACTGCCACGTCTGTTTGGAGGGAGAGAGAAAGAAGTTGTGTCACATGACATTGCTTTTCTTAATACATTTCTAAGTGGTGTTCACCTATTGCTGTGGTAGAACTGGTATAACAACATGACCAGAAAAATAATATTTTGAAATATAGCTAAAAATTTTTGTTAAAAACCCCACAAAAATCACAAGAAATACAGAGAATGAAAACCTGTATTTTTAAACTACTGAAGATGTACGCATTAACTGATTCTTAAACATACCTGGAACAGTACAGTACCAATCTTAAGGACTGTTGGTGGACATTCAGTTACCAAAAATGCTACATCTACAATCTAAAAATGAGAAAGCGTAATTCTTCACTTTGTTCCTATATACATTTCCCTTTGCAACAAATCTGGATAAAGAACAGAATTATACAAATATTATGAAACAAGAATACAGAAAATTTTCTACACAGATTTAAGTGTTCACTTCTTGCACAAAATATATTCATAATTGGCATTTCATAGCCTACAGTTTAAAATACAGGTTAGAAGTAAAAGAATGAGCAATGCTCCTCCTCTACTAAACCATTACACCTTTGGATGAAAGATAGCTTCTGCTTTGAGGGCTCTAAAGCAAGACATTTCTGATGTTGTTTCTGGGAAACTTATACATACTATAAAAGACAGAAATCCACTGTATGAAGATAATCCTTTAAGGAGTGTTCTGCTTTTCCAATCTTCCTTCCGAGAAAAATATCATTTATTCATTTTATAATAAAGGCTAAACAGGCCCACTGTACTGTTAGACAAGTTTTCATAAGCATACATTTCTGACATGAAGAACAAACAGGGCAGATGCTATTCTTTCTGTGTAAAGACACATTTTAAAAGAGTGAAACACTTTCCATATTTACCTTAGTCTGCTGCAGAGAGCCTTTAGTACTTTGCAGCCATAAAAGATCCTGGTAACCATTAAGCCAGCCATCCCAGTCAGTATTTTCTGCCATTTTTTTTACTTTATAGTATGAACACACCACGTAATCTTTGCACCCTTTGATAACTTAAGTTCAGTACACGCTATGTTATATAGGCTCTTCCATAAAAATAACCCCTTTTGACAGCCATTCATTACAAACTGGAATAATTTAGGCCCCACCTCCTTAATGGGCAACAGAGTTCAATGAATAAAAAATTAACAAAACAATTATTACAAGACATTTCTCAGCTTGTACTCTGTAAACTAGACAAGAGCTTAGTTTTTACTTTACAACTTTTTCTGAGAAATTTCTGTAAATGAAAGCTGTTACTTTGAATAGTCCACAGTGTAAATTACTATGTTATGAACCTGCAACATAGTAACATTTTTCCTTACGGAATTTATTTATGAGAAAATTTATATTTCTGTATAACAATGATGCATTTTATTATTTTACAATAATAAGGATGATATTGCACTTAATAGAAAATGCTGTTTATGAGTACAGTAGTAAGGTCTTTAAGCAAACTCACATTTTGAGCAACTCTTATTTTCTTGTATCTTCCTGAATCTTCCCGAAAGCTTATGCTTTACTGTCATAAATTTGGCTTTACACAATCCTTAAATATTTACTAAAATTCCTTAGTTCCAAATTAAATAATATTCATAATCAGTATATTTTTAAAATTAAACAAATTGGCCAGCACACATAATACTGTAATCAGACTGTCTTCTCCTTTCTAACCACAAATAATAGCTAGTAATTATCTGCAAATTGAGTACCAAGCAACTACAGAAGAACAGAATTTAGTAGAAACACTATATGATAGCAGTGTTCAAAGAGGTGCAGATATACAGTTGCACACTGTGACATACAAACAGCACTTTTTTAAAAGAGTTGAATTCAAGAGTCCAGCAGGAAAACTAATAAATAAATTCAAAAGGCTAACTGATGTTTTTCAGAAGTGCCATACACTACTAAATTCTCCCTAACACTTTGCGTTTATATAGTACTTTACATTTGTAAAGTGCTATACAAATGCTATCTAGATGAGATGTATTATCTACAGGCAGAATACAAATCCAGAGTGAATGGTGATAAGATGAATGGCAACATGACAGTAAAATGTAAAGTAATTACAACAGAGAGACTAAGTACTTCATAGATCAGCTAGCTATGCATGAACTCTAATGGAAGACGACATATTTGCAAGGGGAAGTATAGATATAAAATTATTACATTTGTTAAATAGGTGTCTGTGACAACAAGGAATTGACATGGGAGCTGTAACTGGCTCCACAGGCTCAAAACGCCTAACTCCAAAGTTGCAGGAAACATTAGGAAACCACTTCAGTGATGAACAGACAGCTTATTTCAAGTCCTAATATAAACAACCTTTACGAGCCATCATTCTTATACATCAATGCGGATTCCATGTTTTATAGACATTAATTCTCTAGTGCCTGTTAAGTACATAATAAATGAACATAGATGAGGTAAAGATGCTGTAATTGCCACATACAGCCAATAGGGCAAAGGAGGAGTTTTTCCAAAAGGGCAGATCCAGAGGCCATGACGAATCCCATCACGGATGTGATGAGAAGTCCAGGATATGAACAACATCCAGGGAAGAAAGCACCATGAGTCCTTAAGTCTGAAAAGGTGCATAATAAACTTCAACGTCAGAGCCACAACAGGAATCACAGTCGAACAATGAAGAACTGGTCTCTGCGGAAGAGTCAGAGCAGCCTGCAGAAAAGAAAAATGTAATTGGCAATGGCTACAATCATGGTAAGAAAATGTTTCATGGATGTTTACAGGTGTATTATCAAGTGGCTAAGTGGAAGCGCAAAGAAAAACATACTGTTCCTTTCCACTGCAGTTGGTCAAAATCAACAATATGGTTATTTACACGTATGAGAGCTGTGTGCTGCCCTGTCTCTCTATTGTAGGACACTAATCATGTATCCTACCAAGCATTACTGGCGGCAAAACAGGGAGTGAGAGGGATGAGGTATGCTATTTGTCATATAGCCATGTGGTATATAAACTTGTATAGTCTGCTGCACTGATTATATGTATTTAATTTCAAGGTAATTATAAGGAAAACAACCACACAATACACTTGAGGTATACAATATGCTTTACTTGAAATATTTCATATGCTTTAATGGCACTTATTTTCAAAAATACATCCTGTATTATACTACAGTTGGCACCCATTAAGTTGTTTTAGATGGACAATATCTAAAACAGAACAGCAATTTCCAATACAACAAAAATATGATCTAAGTTACATATATTTTAATTGCCTTGACACAGTATTCTTTATGGACAGGCAAAAGACAAGTTCAGAAGCCAACATCTGAATCGTCTGTGACTGGGTTTTTTATATCAACAACTTGTTTAATGTTAACTCCATTGAAAACCTGATAATTTGCTTTAATTAAGGTGAATGTCTAGCTAGTGAGATTTAATTCAACCATTTTAAGAAGTGATAATTATCAATTTAATATACACACCTGAGAAAATATTCCAGATATACTTACTAGCAACAGCTAGAACTATTTCCACAAATTCAAAGATAGTAAGAAAAATTAAATAATAATATTTTGGATTTCAAAGCAATAAATAAGTAGATTATTGTTTCTGTAAGCACAGAAGAAACAACAGCACATCACTAAAAGATCTCTACAGAGGTGCTGATGTAATACTAATTGGCTAAATCCAGGTACTGGTGAACATTTGGAAAGACCGTAACAGGCAACAGAGACATACTCTTTGCACACGATGGTGCGTCTGATTGTTTTGTTGAACTCACCCCTCACTGCATCTACTGCAGAAAGCAAATAAACCATCGCTCCACGACACCAGCCAGTAACCTGTTAATGCTTCACTTGTGTTAACTGTTGCAGGATTCAACAGTTACGGTACCTGACAGTAAGACTCTGGAATGGCTTCATCAAGTTTTCACTGATAATTTAGACAGCTGCTTGGAACACTGTCTTCTCTGTAAGGAAACTTCAATGTAGCCTTAACCAAGCAACAGAGAGATGTAAACCTATGGACTGACTACCATGGAACACAACAGCCTGTGCTTTAAACCAAAGCCAACGTTAAAAGGCTTGCAGAAAGCTTCGCTCAATTAGCTTCCCACCACACACTTGTCCATGACTCTCCTGATCAGGTGACAGGATTAAAAAGCTCACAATCTGTGTCAACAACTTTTAACTGCAGTGGTATGGATCCAGCTCCTTAAACTTGGTGTAAAGAGTGTATTTTCTACAACTTCATTTCTGTCTCATACAAGCAGATTGTTCATGGATTAAAGCAGAAAAATCTTGTGATGGTGAAACAGTTTATTGCCTACCCTATGAAGACAGTCAAGATTTTTCTTCCTGTCAGCAAGAGCCTAAGAAGTCCATACTAGCCTAATTCTGAAGAATCACCCTGGATGGTGATATACTTTGGCAGATATCCTGACTGGTCACTACTTCTGCATTTCAAAAAAATCAGTGGCAAAATCTAAATGAGTCTTTTCCCTCTGCCCTTAGGAGCTTAGGTGCCAACAGCAACAGAGCGAGTAAGGCGAATCTGAATGTCAACTATGCATGCTATTTGTCAGCACTAGTGCCAATCTTTATCCAGTTTTGGGGAGGTGATGCTTACATTTTTTTTCACACAGAATTTTAGATGGCAGGGTTCTTCAGACAGCAAACCTGAGTCCTCAGTTTTAGCAAGAGAAAACTGTACTTTGTAACTGCAGTAGTCATTAGGCTTCTGAAATGCTGTTGCCCAAGTTCTGAGAGTAGAACAGTCTGTTTGCTCTTTTACATTCTGTACCTAGAGGAATATTTACATCCTTGAGTCGCCAAGCCCGAATATAAGCTGTCACACTCTTTATCCTAACAGGCAAGTTTGTTCACCTTCAGAAACCACCAGGTCTTAAAAAAAACAGTACAAGCCTCTTCTGCTTTCAACTTCCTGGAAAAAGATGATCATGGTTTGGGTAGATTTAGGGCTATGTCTACCATGAGGGAGATGAAGCTGCAGTTGCAAACAGAATTTGTTCACAACACAAATTACCTTTCCATTTGCCTACATGTTCAATCAGGCGCAAGAGCCTGAACTTCCTGCTCCTCCAGACTCTCACACACTGCAACGAGCAGCTGGAGACAGGAGACAGCAGTCACATGCAGGAGAACCTAAGCAAACTCTCTGGCTTTAATGCTCAAAGTGACACTACAGAAGCTATGGAACAATATGGGCCCCCTCACTCATATTCTGTGATGCTTGACAAGCCTGAAGTCCTTAGTTCTGAGACCTGTCTATAAATGCAATATTAAATTAACTGTGTGCATGCAAAGCTTATTCTCCAGTTCCTGAAATGCTCCTGTGCAGCCCCGGTTGGTCAGCAGTGGCACGTTAACCAGCTGTGTTGTGTATGTTTGCCAGTACAATCTTGTTTGCCACTGACTGCATTCACTACACTTTTAGAAGCTGGTGAGTCTTTAAGTAGCAAGCTAGCAATTTCTACACCATGACCATTTTGGGCCACAATCCTGAGGGACACTGGCAGCAGCCCATCACGCTGTTCTTGTTTATCAGCAATGCTGAGTATAATGGCAGGCTGCAGTAACTTTCACCTTTAGAGTCAGTCAATGAGACAGATTCTTCCGACACTGATTCTTACGATATTTCTGCACTTGTGTGTGTATAATGTACAGTGAAAACTACATGGAATATAAAGAACTACAAAATGTAAGTAGTGAATTCTTTGTACACTTTATACTTGTTGCAAAAATAATGCAGGCAAAAGGGCACATCACATCCTACTTGGTACACAAGTATTTATCAGAGTAAACATATAAATACCACAGCTGACTATTTCCCCTGAATACTCCAGAAAAACAATACTGCCTTCTGCTGTATAGAAGGGTTACTTCAAGAAAGTAACCCATCGTCAGATTTAAGAGTGATGACAAAGAGCTTTATAGGTAATTGTGTAATGTGAAAAATATTATTGTTACAAGTTAGTACTAGTGGTGTGGTTAGTTAATTTGATTTCTTAATTTATTAGTTGTTTAGTAATGTGTTGCATAAGCAGTAAACATTGTAGTCTCCTAAATCAGTTACACCCAATACTGCAAGATAAAGAGTAAGAATGGGACTGGAACTAACAAATACATAGTAAAAAAGTATCACACGAAGTAATAAATAACATAGGCAACAGCCTGAAATTACAACATGAAACTGAAAAGGCACATCACACCAAGCTGAGGAAAGAAAAAAGCACATATTAAAATCAGGTCTAGCTAGCCAAGCAACAACACAGCATAAAAGTTTATGGGGATTACATTACATCACAAACTAAAAAGACTCTGATGTCATTGCAAGGAGACATAAAACCTGTAAGAGATTTTTTTTTTCTTTTAAAAAGACAAAAGTGTTGTATGCATGTGACATTAAAAGCAATTAATTGATGCTGTTTGGCTCAGAAGTCTCAAAGGAAATACTACACACAGTTTGGGACAGGACCCTTTAAAGATAATTAAGACAAAAGGCAAGCCAGAAGAGATAAGAAAAATAGTAAGAGGTTTAGAAAACATAAAGCCAGGCCCTTCAGATTTTTTGTAAAGCACAATGGTCTTGCAAGTTGCAAGGGTAATCCTGTTACTGCCATAAGGGTGAAGAGACTTACACAGAATATCGTTTAAAGGCAAATATCCTTTATTAGCCCACTTAATGTATGGAAGGGGGAGGAATTTGTAGGCAAATAATTACCAAAAAGCCTTTGGGCGTATTGCCTTCTCCTTACCTCAGCTAAGTAAGTCTGGCTACTAAAGGGCTATTCTTCTACTTGCAACATGTTGTATTTCTGATTTGAAAAACATTTCTGGGGAGAACACAGCAATCAGCTGTCTTCTGGAGAGAGGCCTTAAAGAATAAGAAAACAAGATCTAATTGTCAACAACAATAACTTTAGGATGGATATTAGAAAAAAAATTGCTAGCTGCTTGGGAACTGAAACAACAAAGGATCAAATTAAGTCATGAAACTGCCATAGTTTACTTTGTTTGGGATACTAGGAATAGGCTACACAAACGTTCTCCATCATGGAAAGTGTAAGCATATTTAACCTTGTCTCACTGCAGGCAGTAAAGAGACAGGTCACCTCCCAAATCTATCATACAACACAATAGCTTTCTAAACAGACACTGGTGAAGAGTGTCATCTAGCGGTCATAATTAAGAAAAAACGATGGTAATCTCAAAGGCAAGAAAAAGCAGCAACACAATTTTAATACTTTCTAGTAACTAGCCATTCATTACTTGCATTTGCCGATCTTAAAATAATATACAGAAGAATAATTATAGATTTCAATGTTAATATTATAGGACTCATTAATCAACCAAACTAACTTTCCTTTTCTTTATATATTTTTATAATTTTACAGTATTTCCATATGCAAAAAGTACAGAAAAGGAGGTAACTACAGATTACGCAGGGAGGAACAATGCCAGGCACCAGCACATGTTGGAGACTGACTGGCTGGAAAGCAGTTCTGAAGAAACCCTATTTGTTGAATACGAAGTTGAATACCAGCCAGCAGGGTGACCTTGTGGCAAAAGCGGACAGCGGTACCCTGGGCTGCATTAGGAGTGTTGCCAGCAGGTGGAGGAAGGTGACCCTTCCCTTTCTCCTCAGCACTGGTAAAGCCACTTCTGGATTGCCGAGTCCGGTTCTGGGCTCCCCGCTATGAGAGAGACATGGAGCTACCGGAGATCGAGTCCAGAGAAGGGACACTAAGATCATGAAGCGACTGGAGCATCTTGAGTACAAGGAAAGGACAACAGCTGGGACCGCCAGACTGAAAAAGAGAAGGCTCAGGGGAGATGTCATCAAGGTGTACCAGTATCTGAAGGGAGGGTGTAATGACAATACAGCCAGGCTCCTTCCAGTGGTGCCCACTGACAGGGCAAGACACAACGCACAGAGACTGAAACACAGGAGACTCCTCCTGAACGTAAGGGAACACTTTCACTGGGACAGTGACTGCACAGGAGAACAGGCTGCCTAGAAAGGCTGTGGAATCTACATCCACAGAGATTTAAAAAAGTTGTCCGGAGATGGTCCTGAGCAGCTGGCTCCAGGTGAGCCTGCTTCAGCAGGGGCGGTTGAGAAGATGACATCCAGGATACCCTTCCAAATACAACCACTCCGTGATTCTGTGAAAATGCATCTTTGTCAAACACAGATGTAAGGGGGAAACTGACCAAATGCACAAATAGGAAAACGTCTTTTCTCTACAACAAATAGCAATGTTGTATGTAAACAAAAACTATTTTCCCATCAGAAGTCTGATTTTTACATCTCAGCCATAAGCAATAATGCTTCTTGCATTTAGCTGTCTCCTACCTGTTGTGAAAAAAATGACAAATTATTTTGCATTGTTCTTCTTTAATTAAAGGAATAAAATGAACAGCAATTTTCTCTCCACCTCCTTCCTTCCTCTGCTTCCTAGGAGCTATTTCCTCTGTCATCCATATGAAGACTGCAATACTATTATGAGCAAACTGGAGGAGGAGAAAGAAGACAAGACGGTGAAAAAACTGAGTTATGCTCTGGTTTGATGGATAAAGGTCAGTACCTTTCCCTTCTCCTGTGCAGGTCCATCTGTAAGTGGGGGTGTACGTTTTTGGGGAGGGGAGAGTAAGTAGCATGTATGTACACGAGTGCTAGCAGCACCAGCATCACCAGACTGTGAGGACTTGTGTTGCTGAGCAAAGCAAACTCCTGGTAACAAGCGGAGTGGCAGGGCTCTAGCTGTGGGGACCAGGAACTAGCTGGGGGTGAGGAGCATCTGCCCGAGGTATGAGACCTGGAAGGCAGTGTTAAGAGAACTGGGTCTGGCGCAGATGGAGCTTACAGAAGGTGCAAATGTTTTGGAGAGTACACGGAAGAGACTGCTGTGGTCAGCAGAAGCTGGGTATGTATCTTTGGAGCAGGCAAGCAGACAGGCATGTATGTACGTGTGTGAATGGGGAAGCAGGAACAGGACACACCGAAACCACTGGAGAAGCACCGAAAAAGAATGCCATAATCTGGCAGTACTAACCCTATCAAGAAACTCTATCCCAACAACCAGTTCTGCAAATGGATAATGATCACATACATTCCTTAGGAGGAGTCAATCCACTTGACACTTGCTTTATTATTGTTTTCTTCACAACGAACTGTATTTAAGCACAAACTCCCTGCCTTTTTAAATGTGGCAGCTCACATATAGCTTGTTTGTGGGAAAAATATTTAGGGCTAGTTAAAACCAAATGTACTACTCAGTAAGACTGAATGAAATCAAACAGCAGCTGGATTATCTACTTTCCAGATATTTCTACCCCTTATTGTAAACAGAAATGGAATAATCCACTTTATATACAAAGCACTCATGGCAGCACTTAACTGTTAAACTTGGATAACAAAGCAACTGTGTGATACGCATAGGATCTAGAACCACAGAATAGTTTGGGTTGGAAGGGACCTTTAAAAGTCATCTAGTCCAACCCCCCTGCAAGGATCAGGGACATCTTTCACTAGATCAGGTTGCTCAGAGTGCCATCCAACCTGACCTGGAATGTTTCCAGGGATGGGGCATCGACCACCTCTGTGGGCAACCTGTGCCAGTGTCTCACCACCCTCAGAGTAAAGAATTTCTTCCTTATTATCTAATCTGAATGTACCCTCTTTTAGTTGAAAACCATTACCCCTTGTCCTACGACAACAGGCCCTGCTAAAAAGCCTGTCCCTATTTTTCTTGTAGGCCCCCTTTAAGTGCTGAAAGGCTGCAATAAGGTCTCCCCGCAGCCTTCTCTTCTCCAGGCTCAGCAGCCCCAACTCTCTCAGCCTGTCTGCACAGCAGAGGTGCTCCAGCCCTCAGATCCTTTTTGTGGCCTGTGCACCCGTTCCAACAGGTCCATGTCTGTCCTGTGCTGAGGGCTCCAGTGCTGGATGCAGGACTCCAGGTGGACTATCACCGGAGCGGAGCAGAGGGACAGAATCCCCTCCCTCGACCTTCTGCCCACGCTTCTTTTGATGCAGCCCAGGATACGGTTGGCCTTCTGGGCTGCGAGTGCACATTGCCGGCTCCTGTCCAGCTTTTCATCCACCAGTATGCCCAAGTCCTTCCTGGCAGGGCTGCTCTCAACTCCTTCATCCCCTAGCCTGTATTGACATCGGGGGTTGCCCCTACCCAGGTACAGGACCTTGCACATGGCCTTGTCGAATACCACACACAAGGGCTTTCAGAACTCTTTTTTCAGAGTCTTGTAAGGAGCAGAACTTAACAGTAGATGTAAAATATTTTTAGGGCTTTTAAAATCCTAACCACTGCATACAAATATAACTCCCATATATCTGTTAAAAATCTGTCTAATTAAGATATCATTGGAACTTTTTTTGTTTAGAATACGGTAGAAGAACAATAAAGTAAACTGTGATGAAGCAGTCATTGATCTATTGACTTACCTTTAATGACAGGGAGCCAGCAACAAAGAAGTGGTCCACATCAATGACAGAGGCGAGAAAGCCAGCCAGAGTGACCTCAGTGAAGTCACTTTTCTTCCTGAGTCCAATCACTATTGCCCAGGACCACATTCCTAGTATACCATGCACTGCATTATCAGAGAAGGCTCGAAGCCAGTCATTTTGCTGAATGAAGGAAAACTGCAGAAGTCTGTCTGCTACAAAGCAGAATATTCCCAAACCTAGACTAGAAATAACTGAAGCTGTACTGCAAGTTTGGAGAAGAGCATGGGCCTTTTCAGTTTCCGATGCCATGGTAAACACCACGTCACAGGACACAAAGTGTCATCAGGATATACACTGTGCATTGTCCTTTGCATCATCAGTTGCTCTGTAAATGTCAGAGAACAGAAAGAAAATTATTAAAGAAAAAATCCATTAGTGCAAAGCATTTGTTAACACAGCTACAACTGAGCATAAAAAACCCAAATTCAGCGTTTGCACTTAATATTCCTAGGGAATTTTTTATTTCAGTTAATTTGTTGACTTGAACACTACAGCTCCGAATTAAAACACTTGTCCTGTTCTAATCAGAACAAGCACTTCTGTAACATGGAAAGCTCTAACTCCACTTTCTGAAACCTCAAATTTTACAAAATAATTTGAAATGTTTATGATAATACATTGAATATATTTGAAGATTCCTCTTGGTCTTAAATCCATGATATTCACCAAATTCAACTCTTTACGCTGTAACAACAAAAAAAGATTCAATTTGGAGTATTCTTAGGACTGATGCTCAAAAATCCCAGACCTCTCAGTGCAACAACTGTTAAAACTGAGTTTCTAATCTATAAACCAAACGACTATTTTCATTTACCTACTTTGCAAAGGTATGTGTTATCACCCTGGTACCCCTCTCTGAGCAACTCCTTGTTTAGCTTGGACACTGGCACATAGAATAAGCATTAAGAAAACCAGAATCACTAATATATTTTTAGTGTTTATCGTAAACACAAACACAACAATCATTCAGCCAAGCAGAAGCAACCAAAACAAACTCTTTACTGAGCAAACCTACACATGCTTTTCCTCAGTATGTGTTTCAGCAGCAAACTGAGGAATACTGTTACTTTTAAGACTTTTCTATTGCCTGCCACATTACCGTTTTTGTAGAAAAGAAGAAAATTAGTTAATTCCAGTCATTTTATTTCTCAAAAATTGACCACTGTAATTTGAAAATAAAGGCACTGTTATCAGCATTAATTATCACTTTAAAGTCCTTAAAAACTATTTATGTTCTATAATTATTACAAAACCCTCTTGTACAAGGTGATTTCTTGGGAATAATTATTGTCCTTAAGTAAATGCTTGATAACTCAAAAGAAATTCCAAAAGTAATTCATGATCTTAAAAATACTCGCACCCCACTCCCATGAAGCAATTATAGAATACCTGGATTATAACGACAGAGTACTCATTTCTGTGGTAACATTTAAAGGAACACTTTTGAAATAAAAATCCTCGTACAAATGATGTATTCCCTAGCTTCGTTAGTTAAACACACTGAAAAGCAGTCCTTGATGGACAGTGTCAATTCAAACTGTCCCAACTGTTATGCTCTTTTGTCTTTATGGGAAGCCATGAGGACAGACCACCGTTCACAGCCTACATCCTACCTAAAACTTAATTCTTCCCAAGAGGTTGCTATTTCTGTGCAATACACTAAATTTTGATAATGCTTCTTCACACAGTTCTATCAGGTAAATTTTTATTCTAAATGGTCTTTTCATGAGTGCATTAGACTTGCTTTAAAAATGATACTTTTAACAATATTGACACATAACAGTTTATGATTTTAAACACATTATTGATTATAAGCCCCAGAAAACATAAAATGTTTCTTCCAGATTATTCACATGCCTGTTTATTGTAGAATTATCCACAGGACATGACTACTGGCATTGATCTTTATAGCAAAAAAGCCCACTGAATCATTTATTTGGAAAACATATTAAAAAAAGAGAAGAAAGCATGAATAATACATAGACTTTGCACACAGACGAAAAAAAGTGGGTCAAGTTTAGAGTCTGTTACCCATGACTGTACCTCTTCTGAATGAACACAGACAGACACAATGTATTTCCTGAAACACTGGAACTGCCATTTTCTGGTGGATGACTTTACAATATACAGTACATTTCTGAATTAATTCCATTTTAAGGAACAAATGGTGATCTCTTCACAAATGTTTCTTCTATGTAACCATCATGTCGGATGGGATTTTATTTAAGATTACCATGAAATCTGTTTAAAAATCCAATCTGGGAAGAGCTGATATAGCAACACACTTTCAAAAAGCAAACCAGTATTCAGAATCAAACTTACCCTGGGACTAGCAGAACATATTTTTTTCCACTGCAGCTGCCTTACTCCAGTAGCAAATGTGGTCTACGCCTCAGCGCTTTCTGAATCCAGTCTGCCAAGTCCAATGCAGGAAAGACCAAACACCATTTGTTCCATGCTAAATAAAACGAACCAGTCGGCAGTAAGCACCGATACCACACAAACCTCTTCAAACTATCTACAGAACATACATGAAAACTGAACAGCAGTCAAAAATACAGAAAAATGCAACACCTTTTTAATGAATTCTGGAGCAAATATACCTGAGCTGAAAGCAACTTCTGCTAGGGCTTAGCGGTTCTGTTAAAGAAAGAAAACTAAAACAAAACCCAGACCATAAACCAAGAGAAGGGCACAAATAAAGATGGAACAAGACAACAATTGAAAGATAACAAACCCAAATGTCCTAAAGTCAGAAAAGGGCAACTCCAGCATTCTGTTTTAAGCAACTGCACTTCAAAACACACAAAGATCTATTTTCACTGATTCTTCTCTGTAACTGTGTGCCTGGAAGATTCCCACCTAATGAAACATTTAGGAGTCACACTCAGGGATCTCTTTTTAATCTCATCCTATCAATTAGTGACCTTGGAATAAAGGGAGATCTATAAACTTGAATAGCAAGAGAGGTCTGTGTCAGTTTTATGGCAGACTTACACTGTTTTGCTATGCACACTATTAGCATGTGCATAAAGTATACAGGAAAAGCATCACTACAGACTTAAAAAAAAAATCCAGAATAAATATGATTTGAGAATTATGTATCATGAAATAAAGGTAACAATGCCAACTGGAAAACAAGGATGATATGTGAATGGGTGTCTTTGAACCAGAATGAAGAACAGGAAGTAAAAACGTGGTTTCAGACTATGCTTAGCCAAGAGCCGTGTCCGTAGCATAACACTTCTTTTTAAACAGTCTGTCTCTGCTGTCTTTTATAGACAAAAATTACTGCTGCCTGTGTAAAAATCAAGTCACATTCCCAGATACAATGGCGTAAGTATAAACATTCTGCAGATCAATAGTGAAATCAGACTTGAAAAAGTAAAAATCTGTTCAACCAAAACAACATCTGAAATGACAATTTTTAATTTAAAACTAGAAACTGTATTTTTGTCTGAAAAATAGTGATTTTCAGACTGTTTACAAAATATCATAACAACAGTGTCGTAAGTTTTTCTATCCTGTAAATCTCAGAGAGCATAGCTGTGGAGCTTACATTCTTGTTAAAACAGAACAGTAGGAAATAGATGTATTACACGAGAATGCTTAGAAACCAATGGGTGGTCAGTGCAGTTAACCTACTGAAGGAAAGATTTAGGTTGAGTTTACTTAAAACACAGGCACACAATAGCTGATAGTTAACACTGCTTAGAGCTGTGATTTTTTCATTACATTTTTATATGAGATAAAGCATTATGCATAATCTCTTATAAAAATAATTTTTAAAACTGCACAGTTGGAACTGTAAATTACTGACACAAGAATGTATTTAGATCAAAGCTGTAAAAATGCATTTGGGGAAACAGCTGACACTAAGAGGCCTTTCAACTCATGGTGTAAGAGCAAAGCAAAAAACCACTGGCTAAAATTACCATTTAGAAATACTGCTTTACAAAATTCTTGCCCCAATTTTGCAAGTAATTATTTGGTACATGAATACATACAGGAATTAAATGCATAAACTTAGCAGAATATGCACTTCATGCAAGAAGTCAAACGATCGCAGTAGTCCCTGTAATTCTGTAATCTCTTTAAAATAATCTCTGTAATTTGATATCAGAAGCTAATTCACATGAAAAATTCCATAAAGTAAAATTACCATTTAAGACACCAGCTCAAATGTTTATGCATTATCTCATGGAAAAAGCAGATCCAAGCCTAAAACTATCTGTGAAGAACTAATAATGCACTTTATTTTGGGGTCAGATAATTATAATGCGTCACTGGGGTTGGAGGGCCAAAGGAGGCTGAAGAGAAAAGAGTACAAAAGCACACAAGAAATTGGCTGGATTTTACCAGGACACTAAGAAACAAGCTGAATTAAATGCACAAGGAAATTAAGAAAAACAAACAAACCCCCCATAAAATCAGGATTTAATTAAATTGTTTATTTCAGGGACCATAAATTAAAGTGTTTGAAAAGAGATACCAAGACACCAAAATGCAGACGTTCTCCTTCATGAGTAATTTGGAACTGAGATTTAAGACTAAAACACCATCACTATGTGTAACCAAAGGGAGGGACGAAGGAAAGGCCAGCATGCAGCAGACAGACATGTGAAAGTACAGAGATCAGCAACATTTTTTCTGTCTTGAGGAAAGGAGGCTTTGTCTCCACGCCCAGCACCAAAGCCCCTCATCAGCCACCTCCTCAGCCATTAAGAAACAAAAATGTACCGTCATCTTTACAGCAAAAACGGAGCCGAGAGCGTTAGGAAGCCTTACATGTAAGTGACACGCCTGGCTTTACCTAAGGAAGCGCATTCCCGTTTCTTACGCGAAGACCTGACAGGACGTACAGGCACTCCTACTCGTAACACAGGAATTTGACGCTGGTCCCGCCGGACGGCTACGACCGTTTTCGCTTCTTCGCAGTAAAACTCACTGCACCGTAAACGCCCCGGGGTGCCTAAACCGACGGACCCCCGAAACCCCAACCCGGCGGCAGGCAGCCC